ATTCGCTGTGCCATGCGGATTGGTGCGGCGCGTTTGAATGGGAGAACAAAACATGCGTATGTGAGCGCGGCAATTTGCAGGTGAGCGGGATGGTTGGTGCTGTGGTGTCACGTGGTTGCATCTATAGTCTGCGGCACGCACAGCTGTGAAAATACGTCCGTGATGTTGCTGTGCAATGCGGATTGGCGCGGGCGTGGCGCTAACTGGGAGAAGGAAAACATGCGTGTACACGCGGCGTCTCGCTGGTGAGCGGGGCGATTGATGCGAAACATATATGTACACCCGGCGTGTTGCTGCTGAGCGGGATAATATTTGGTGGGGTGGCTTGCACCTAGCCTGACATGGTTGCAGTTGCACCTAGTCTGTGGCATACAACGTGGCGAAATTACGTCCCATAACAGTCCTACAAGAGTGTCCGTACAAGAGTCTTGTACATGGTTCCCCCACAGGTTTATCTGCAGATTTGCACATCCACTCCATCTTGGCATGAGCACCAGGGTGATCATCGTTGAAATCACCCCCCATCATCATCGTCATCATCATTACGGTTACAAGTGCCAGTGCGATGAACGTCATCAACATCGACATCATCAAACTCATTGTATGAAACCGCCTGGCGCACATGAATCTTGACGCTGAGTTTTGCGCTGATGCACGGTAGATATCACGATTTACATGGCGCTGATGCGGCTCAGGTCTTTTGTCACAAGTGGACCACACATCACGTGGCACCACTGCGGGTCAGCAGGAATGGACTCAAGCAGCAGCAGCGTCCAGACTTCTTTCGACGGGGTGCAGCCCGCGCCATTGATCTGAACCACTGGTTGGATTGGCGCCATGGGCACCATCTCCCTTCAGCCAGGGCGAATCATGGTTGTGACATGGTGTCGAGACGAGGGCGCTTCGTGGGCTGCGGCATGACCCGCACGGCAGGAATTCAGCTTCGTGGCAATCACGGCGTTCCAAAAGACCGTGGTGCTGCTTCGGTCACTGTATCATCGGGGAACCCGTGTCAATACACGTTGTTTTTTGGTGTTTCTTGTTATCCTCCTACGTTCCTCCTCATTGCTACCTTGTTTCATCTGCAGTGCTTTCGGCCCACCCTGCTAGCCCATGGGCTCTGGGGGCTCCCGGCGCCTCCAACAGCCCCGCAGGGCACGTCGTCTTGGCCCACTCCAGCTCCGGCACCGGGTCGGGGCCCGACCGGGGCGTTTTCGCCTCGGTGAAGATGGCGCTGGCACCATTAGTCATATATTAGTCAGCCTGACTCGGGACCATGTCTGTGATCGATGAGGAAACCACTAGTTCACACACACTCACACACTGACGAAGGGAGATTCTGCAAATCGTGGAGGTAACTCCAAATGTCTGACCCAGAGCGTTCATGCGGGATCACCTAGTCCAGCCCATCGGTTTAGCACATGATCAACCCGTATCAACCCTCAGAACCGGGCCCTCGCAACGGGTTCCGGACCCTCTAGCCCCAGGGGTCCGGATCCCCAAAAGCCTTCAAAACTTTTCAGGTGACTCTGGATATCAAAGCGACCGCCCGTCCCATCGAGTATCAACGCGACCGTCGGCCGTCCCGCTGCTGGGGGTTGCGGACTTTGGGCCGCACCACCTCCGCCTGAGGTTCCGGGAGTCGGGTCTGTGGCGAGGACGTGGCCTTAACATGGGCCCAAGATCCACTCACTTCTTAGGTGCAAAGAACTGGCCTTCTTAGGTTAATGACGGTTCTATACTGTTCTTAGGGGTCTAGTGAATCTAAACATGTTGTAACTGTAAGCCCTATTAACCCCTTGGAGCTCGCCTGGCATGGATGGCCGCAAGATCAAACACCGCCCAAAGGCTTTGGATTCTTGGTGGGAACTGGCTCTCTCTCTCTCTCTCTCTCTTTCTGCGAGCAACGTCTCCATCTCAGCCTGGCCTTGCTCAACTTGGGCGGTGTTTGGAGCTTCTCAGGGGCCAAGTCCTCCCACCATCCTCGGTCCACATGGTCGATGGTCAGATCCGGATCGACAGATCCGGGAATGGTCAAGTCTGCATGGGTAGGACTACAAAATGCATCCCGTATGATCCGGTACATAGACTTGATCAAGGACCATTTGTTGTTCTCGAATCGATCCGTACGTGATGTTGTTATGGACGGTGGTCCAGCTGACCATAGTTGTAACCCATTCTCCGTAGCCTGCTCACCCCACCCGGGTGCCGCCAAGCTTCTGCTGAAGTCAAAGCCATCGGTACCTGCCAACTGGGGCGATGGGTCACGGGACCCGAACCGCGGACCCCGTGGGACGAACCGGAGGCGAGTTCGGCTTTGGGCGAGAAGAATGGACGAAGAGGCCACATTGAAAGTGAAGAGCATGGGGTGTGAAATGGCTTGCCACAAGGAAAAGAGCGAGGACCAAATGAGATACATAATATAAATGTTAAATATAGTATATAATACTGTAAGACATATTATCTGACATATGGTTGTAATTATACAGGTATGTAGGGCGGCCCCCGATGTCCAAGCACAGTCACAGCAACACGCGGGGAACATGCAAAACTATGGCAAGCCAATTCACGTGTTTCAAAAGTCAGTGTGCCAGAGTTGACCTGGAGAAACAGTTCAGGAACCCCAGCACTACCCTCAAGCAAATAGATATTTCGGATCTTCTGGTGAGTAGCAACCGCCTTTCCATCCACCAAAAGTTTGTGTTTGAACCCCTGCGCCAAGAACACATGTGGATCGCCCTCCCTTGTGTGTTGTCTTGCAAGCATTCTGCTGCAAACCTCGAGTCATTGGAATGGACAGCTGCTCCGTGTTCAAAGGGAAATCGATTGGTCATTGGTCTCACCCCAAGTCATACAGGCATCCACATCATCCACCTGGAATCAGTATGGCAGCAAGGTTTCTAGAACTTGTCTTTGGAACCAGTGGCCCTTTGTTGTGGTCTCCTGCACTTCCGTGTCATGCAACTCGCAACCCAGCAGTCGAAGACTGAGGCGAGGACGTTCCAGGGCTGCGTCGTCCGACCAAAGGGCACGCAGCCCTGGCTCTTGGCCTCAGGAACGGCCCGAGAGGTGTGTCCACCTCCGAACGGGTCCTCGATGGGGGCCCTGACAGTCGCAACAGACAGTCGCGACCTCCGAGATCTGAGAGGTGGGTGGGGGATGAAGGGCGCTTCAAGGGTCTCAATGAATTCTCAAACAGTTCTTTTTTTCATTCCATCGACGTTCCACATCGGATTGTCTGGGCCCCTCGGCCATCCTCCGTGCTCGCTGAAGAGACGCTCGTCTTCGAGACGCCCGCGCGCCAGCCCAGGAAGCGGATTGGCTCGGTTCCTGGGGGCGAGGTTCCCCACCAGTTCGCCACTGGGAGGTGTGTTTTGTTCGTGCTATTTTGAAGCCCGGTCGACTTGAAATCATTTGTGTACCCTGACAATCCAAAGCCCACGGGGTTTGGCAGCCCATCCGCCAGTCGGACGAACCAGTCCCACTGGTCGTTGCTTCAGGCCTTTGGCATCGGACCTCATATGCTCCACATGAAACCTCGGAGCACCGTCTGCAAATCCGGGTCGCGGCTGATTGATGTTACTTATGGACCTTCTCATGATTGCTTACAGCTCTCTTTTGTGGTTGCAATGATTGCAATGATAGAATGGTCCCTCCGACAAATCTTGCAAACAAACAAGACCACACAAATCCTCCAGATGACTACAGGCTCAACAAAACAAATACAAACAAAATCACACAAGTCACACAGCTAGGCTAGAGCAGCCCACTGGCAATCTCTGGGTTCCAATGCCTTGATCACCTCCCGTCACGTCTGGGCTTTTGAGGCCCTCCGCCACAGCTGGCGACATCGGTCGGGTTGCTTGGGCCCAAACGAGAGGGCGGGAAGCGGAGAAATCCATCCCAGAACATGCTGGTTTGGGGTAGATTCTCTTGCATATGTCACAATGATCGGCATGGGCAATCATGGTATGTATTGATTATAGGTGTATATTATATACCTTGGATCTATCCTATTGCCTGCAACAGTGGATGATGATGCTTAGTAAAGGTCTTGTTCAAAAACAGTGATAATTGCTTACTGACTGTCACAGGTAAAAGGACAAACCCAATAGAAGTCCCAATATATATAATTATGTGATGTCCTATCGACTGTGAAAAATGGTCGAACAATTGGATACACAGTAGCCGCACACACCCTGTCAGTGGCCGCACACACTCCGTAAACATCGCACGCACTTGACCACGAGGTCTTCTGATGCACCCGATCTATAGGTGTCGGAGATCCGTTCCGACCGCCCCCCCCCCGGTGCCTCCAGCGCTGCACACCGCCGGGCGCAACGCGGGCGCAACGCGCTCAGTCTGCGCGCCGCCTTTTCGAGCGAGCTGCACGCAAACGCTCGGCGAGGATGTGAAACAGGGCCTGAGACCGCACCCTTCCACGTCGAGGGATGTGCTCCGGCGAGACTACGGCCAAACAAACCAGTCTGTCGGTCCTCTCTGCCTGGGGACGTCAACCAGAGTCAATCACCATTGATTTTAGTTTAACCAAACAACATCATACAAAATCATTGTTTTGTATTGTGTTATTAAGAGGATTCCAGGATATTCCAGATCAATGTGTCCTTGCCATTATCGTGCAAGGCTAGGGATCAGGGTGGAGCGAAAATGCGTTGATCATCTTTGATTCCCTAGCCCACGGAGCGTACAAAGTATGGAGCCACATATGCCGGGCATATGTGGCTCCTATGCCGGACGGACTGCTTCAGTTTCCCAAGAAATTGAAGATTAACCTTCTTCTACCTGCTCTTGTTCAGTGGGGAAACCACTCCCCCCAAAAAAGATGAATCCGCTGACTGGGTATGCGGTGCACAACATGTGACAACTCGTTGACCCAAAAAATAAGCCAAACAACAAACAAACACTTGCCTGGCCACAAGCCCAAGGCAAAGCCTTGGAAGCTCCGCTTCCACCTCGCAGCGCACGCAAGTAAAAGCTTCTCACCAATCGCCGGCGTAGCCTGGCTGGACGGACGTCGTGAGAAGGATCCAGCAGGATCCAATTTAACCCAATCCATGGTCTCTCCAATCCAGAATCCATTGCAATAAGTGTCCTGCCTGGCAATCGGACCCTGAGATAGGCTGAGTGGATACATGTGCCGAGATTGGCGTACCCGCTATAGTAGGGGGTGAGAAGCCTTTAGCCAGTCTCGCTAGCAGTTACAAGATGTTACAAAGTCAGCCAAAATGGATTCGGATTGTGCTCATTCCACCCACATAAAGGCACATTCTCGGATCGGATCACTTGTCCAGCATTCTGGATCTGCACATTGCTCGCTTGAATATATATAGAACAGCGCAAGTCAACGGAATGTACTATACTAACTATACTAGAATTATCTATAATTATCTCATCAGCGTGGAACTTACTCCCAGCCCGAGCAGAAGTTTGCAGCATGGAGGATGCACATGCACAATCATGTGCATGCCATGTCCTCGTTTGACTGTCCGCCACGGCCCACCCCAAGGCTCTCATTGAGATTGCATCTGCCAGCTCTTTTCTGGGTACAACTAACCGGGTAGAGGAAAATAGTCTTCCCAAAAGACACACAAGTCCAGTTCCATGCTAGTGAGTCGGAGGGTGCCAGCTCAAGAAGCCCAGGGCCAGTTCCTGCGCAGTGACGAACGTGCCAAAACCGTCCAGGAAGACCCGGCCTTCGGCACCGGTATAGCGAGCCGCACCGGTGGTGAGGTAGTCCTGCGCCAGTGAGGACGACTAGTCCCCGTCCATCTTGGGATGGTCAACACGGACAATCCTCGAGGAGCAAAATGATCGCAATGACCTAAAGGGTTGACCTTTGAAATGAACCCAATGAGTGAAAAAAAAAAAAAACACGCCATGACCCATGAAATGACCGAAAAATGACCCCTTTCCACCGGGCCAACCACTTTGGGATCTTTGTTCAGTTCTCGCAGGTGTTTTATCCGTGAAGTTTGCAACTATAGCCAGTTTTCTACTGAGTGTGCATCCTGGGAATGGATGAATCGATGAGATCATCTTCGCTGTGGGTAGAGACGTAAACCTTCAACGGAAGATATGCTCACAAAAAGATGGTTCTCCTGACAGTGGCCAGATCTGTTTTGGACCCATCACGGTCTCCATGGTCCATTGCGACGGTCTCCTGTTTTGGTTGCATTAAACTGCCATCTCCTTCCTTCATCTCGCATCATCTCGCAGCAATTACTACACAAATCATCCACCAGTCCGACCGCTTGCTGGGCTTACCCCCCCACTCCTCACCCCCCCCACCCAGAACGGCATAGGACGGGACCTTGGTGGCGGAGGTGGTCTTCTGCCGCGTGGTCTCCAGCTTGGGGCAATCGGAAATCCGGTGGCCCAAGCCACCGCAATAAGCGCAGCCCTGCGGTGACGTGGTCTCCGCTGGGAGACCGTCGAGCACAGACCGTGACGATCGAGGCGTTGGACAACGGGGGGTGACTCACCATGCGATCGTCACGCCGCTGGTCACTCCGCTGGAAACACACCGATGGATCGGTGGAATCCGATGGATGGGTGGACGGTTGATGAATTAGAAGAATTCTATCAGAATGGTGTTAGATCTCCACATGGGGGCTGGTTTTATTGATTCTATACGCACTTTCGGCATATCCATGACCACAGTACTAATGGTCCCCAAATGGAAAGACACCACCGACACCACCATCAAAATCTCCCAAATCACCTTTCTGCGGCTTCGCATGCAGGTCCCAAGACCAACACCTCGCAGCATCAGAGGGGCGCGAACATCGCGGCAATACCTCCTGTGTGCTTCCCCACGCCCCGCGGTCTCCTCGGGTCCGAGCACGCCTTGACGCCACCAATCTCTTCCTCCTCTCGTCCTCCGGCCGCGGAGTCCAGCTGCATGAGGAAGGGTGGCACCTCGGGCAGTCCAGCACCGGCTCGTTGCGGAGCTTGAGCAGCTTGGCACGGAGAGTGGCCACCACTTGGCCGTTGTCATGCCGTGGTGTAACAGAAGAAGGTTTGTGCTGCTTTTGTTAGGGAACAAGGTCTGCTGCCCTAGCAAAAACAGCGCCCGAAGAAGCTCCTATGATGATACATACCCAGGATGCTCTCCAACAACAACTTGCTGGATGGGCTCCTGATCTTAATACTTTGATTTGGCGGCCCTGCGATTCGGTGTGGGTTCACCCTGACCAACCAGAGCGCCAATGTCCCGAAAGGTGCACCTGACACTCAGTTTGAGATGTGTGTATGCTATGCATATAAATAAATATATATATATATACATAGAACCGCCAGAAGGCAGAATGTTGCATAGTTGGAAGATTCGGGTATACGCATCTATCTATCTATCTATCTACAGTATCTATCTATCTACAGTATCTATCTATCTACAGTATTTATCTATCTATAGTATCTATCTATCTACAGTATATCTATCTATCTACAGTATCAGTGTATCTATCTATCTACAGTAAATCTATCTACAGTATCTATCTATCTATCTATCTATCTATCTATCTACAGTATATCTATCTATCTACAGTATATCTATCATCTACAGTAAATCTATCTATCTATCTATCTATCTACAGTATCTATCATAACCCCTTCCACGAATATTGAACAGAACGCAGCCAACCCGCAATACAGTAAGAAAACTCTGGTCGAGCGCTTGCTCTTTGAATTGGGAGTGTCGCAATAGTGAAACCCCAAAGGATGGGAATCGGGGAGGAGCATATATAAAGACCCTCCCACCAAAAAATGACCTTGGGGCCATTCTAGCAGCAGAAAGTATAGGGGGTAATTACCACCTTTCAAAGGTAGACAATGTTTAGGGTTTAGGGTGTCTGACATGAATCATTTTCGATTGGGTACAGTAGTGTTTAGTACTCTGGATTATTATTGAGAACTCACTCGCGGTAGCAAACAAATCATTGCCGCGTCCTCTTTTTACACCGATTCCTGATCTTGGTCTTGATCCATAGCCTACCCCTGTTGCTACCGACCTTGTGAAGTCTGGCTGAAAGAATCTACAGTATCTCCAAGATGCTAACCATACAGGCCATGTAGGCCTGTAACAGTTTCGCCGCCCTTGGAGCCACTTCCCAGCTTTTCACCACCCTCTTCGGATGCCAAGCCACGTGCTGACCAGCTTCGAGCAGCAAGGCCTTCAAGTCCAACAAAATGGTCTCCTTGGATCCGGCAACATCCAGCCTGGTTGGTTGGTTGGTTTTGTAAATTAGCTTGCTGCTCCATGTTCCTCCAGGAGGAGCCACCTGTTGCATAGGAGCCCCCTGTTGCATAAGAGCCATGAAGCGCATCATGCAGGAAGCAACTCAAGGTGTTGATCAACCTTGGCTACCTGCCATAAGAATCCATAAAACGTGGATTTGAAATGATTGGGATATTTGATGGTGAGAACTCGCCAATTGCAGTGCCGAACAAACTTTATTTTTTTGATGTGTGTGTGTGCGTGTGTGTCTCGTGAAGGTATCGATCGGCCATGGCATCATATGCGCATCCAAGTGGTCTCCGTTCCGCTTACGCCGGAGTGTTGAGCAGTGAAAGCAGTATATATATATATATTTTTTTCTACTTAGAAAAATGGGGCATTCACTTTTGTCTAGTAAATGGTTTTGGCCAGGTAAAACACTCTCTAGAAAATGCGAGGCATTCGAGAAAACTAAAATATAAGCTAATATAAGACCTTATCTGGATGAAGTGTTGCCTCTCTAGGGAATGGTCTTGTACAGGTTCGCATCGTGCATAAAATGAGACAAGTGTAAAACCAGAAATGCATTTTCTAGAGGTGCCATGGAAAGGGATTTTTGAACAAGATTCCTCGATGGCCGAATATTAAAATATTTTTTCTAGATATGTTCAGTCATCAATGAAAACAATGAAAAAATATCAAGCAACCAATTTCTAGAGCGTAAGATCTTATACAACATTGTACAATCGATTGCAATCATATGCAATCACCGTCTATCAGCTTTGACGTGCACATACATACACGACACAACAAACATCAGCAAATTATAGCAAACTGTTTTCCACCCAATCTTTGCTTCCGATTTTTTTCAGGACAATCATTTTGCACCGTACCGTTTCCATATCAAGCAGTTGTCTCTAGAAAATGGTTGCCTTATCAATCTTTAATGTGTTGCCAATTGTCTAGAAAATGCTCTTGTACTTATTTTGGTATCCCATTTTTTCAAGCACAAGAAAACTACAGATTTCCTCTAGGAATTGGTAACAACAAACTGTGTCATCCATTAAAAAACCTGTTTTATAGAAAATGGTGGGGCTCCGGCTCCAGCAATATATGGGGGCATGCCTCACTAGAAAGTGACCCCTTTTCTATGGAACCTAGGTTAAACCATTTCCTAGAGGAAATTCTAAGGGGTATATATATATATATATATTATCCCTATATTATGTAATATCCTTTCGGTATAGCACCCATTACCGGTAACAGTGGATGTGGATGTGGATGATGATAATGATGATGATGATGATGGCTAAGTAAGGCCTTTCCCAAAAATACTGCTAATCTTTTACTGACTGCTACTGATACTGGTAACATCTGGTAATGGGACACACCTGAATTGCATATATACTTCTTCGCTGGGCGGCGTCTTGGTTCTTGTTCACGAAGGTAGTCGCCACACCAGTTCGGCCACACCGGCCTGACAAGCAAATCCAGCTGGAACCCGCAGTAGAAAGAACAAAGGTCTCATATATGTATACCATAAAGCAATTACAGTACAGCTTTGGGGAGGGAAATGCAAACGGGCTGTCAGGGTTCCAGGCAGTTGTTTGACTTGGCAAAGCTTGCTGGTTATGTGTACATGGCTTCCGCTTGCGGAAGATTGTTGAATAAAAAACATGTCCAATCCATAGCCAGGAAAGTTGATGCCTCTGATTTGCAAACTTGCCGTGCAAAGTAGAGCTCAAATGAATGCAAATCCGCGATTCAAAAGGTGTTCCACTGTATCTTAACGATCCTGCTGCTCCATGTCGTTTACAAATGTTTACAATCCACTCTTGCGCCAGCGCAACATACCAGCAGCCGAGCAGCCAGTTCGACCAATGCGATGCACATAGTTCTCGATCTCCTTTGGCATATCAAAGTTGATCACCTCAAGCATGCGGCAAGGCTACTCTTGCCCACCTAATCAATTAAGCGCCTTGGAAATTACAAATTGGTTAAACTATAGGAATTTTAGTTGTGGATTGGACATTGGAAGCCAATACCAGGTTGTCTGTGGTTTTAGCTCCTTGGTAGAATCTTTTGTGGATTCACCAGCGTATCAAACAGGAAGCATGTCTCGGAAAGGTCCCTGATCCACCGTTGTGCTGCATCCAGTACTTGGCAATGTGTTATGGCTATGGCTGCTCTAGCCACCTTGAGGACCTTGAGCACATCTCCAAGCAATTGGCTTCCAAATCTTTCCTTTCATAAAGGAATGCAAAGCCAAACAGTCCACGAGAACTGAGATATCATATCAATCATATCAATATGCATCAACTAGCCATAACTAGCCCTCTAACTCAAACCACCCCAAGACCTTTGTGCTCAAAGACGCCCGGCCCCCCAGGCGACAGCAGGCTCCCCAGGGTCACCCGATTCGAACGGTTCGTATCGCTCACAGGTCCAGCGGCGTGCTGAATGGCGGGGAAGTCCAATCCTTTCGACGCCACATCCGTGCCAATGAGCACGTCCTGAGGAGAAACGAATCGAACAGATACTCCCCTGCAGATCATCCCCATGGAACCCCAACCCCACGAGGGAAGTGGACCAAATGGTCGACACCACGGGTCCATTCTCGGGTTCCAATGTTGGTTCGCGGGGTGGGTCCGGCGCTTTTCGGATTTTACTTTGGCTTTGGGGTTGTTTAGGGGTTTACAACAAGGTCTGGTTGCCTGGAAAAACATCCCATATGTACGTGGTAATTATTGGTCGATTTGGTCGCGTGCCAGGCACATGGGGATCAAAACCGCAAAGGTCGCATCTATCTTTCAGCGATCAACTGACGGATGCTTAAAGGTCTGGTTCTTACGGTCTGGTTACCAATATGGCCGTTCAAACTGCTTCAGCTAAAAAACGCCCAGCCATTGCAATTCAAAAGTCGCTTTCAGGTCCTCAACAATGATTCAGTGCCTTTGTCATAGGCACAAACCTCCCAGTCCCACCCTGTAGGTTCCGTGTCAGCATCACTGGACATCTCTCAAATCCTCCTGATCTTCAATTGACGAGCATTAGGGGAGCCCATCCAGGTTGTCCACCGCTGATGACTCATGACCACTGTAATTCATGGACCCTTAGTGTTCGGAGACCAGCACAGAGATACAATCCGGTTAGGCTTGTGCACAGCGATCCTCATCGCCCAACGTCAAGAGCCCCTCCACCTGGGTGATTCTCCTCACTTCAAAAAAGAATTAGAGAAATAACATGTGACACTAGGATCTCATGTGTTGCCATCTCGCCCCTCATCACTTTCTCCTCCCGACACCCCACCCAAACAACCAAAAGGGCACCCGAACCCGCCCGCTTGCAGACATCCACCCGAAACCATGTCCCCCACCCCCCGAAACCCGTTTTGGACCGCCCACCCGCGTCGTCCGCACCAGGCGGACGGTTCGCGTCGTCGTCCCATCGGCGCCTTGGAGCCTTCCTTGAAGGATCGGATCGCCTCGTGGCGCTCCTCCTGGTCCAAGCCGCCGTGGATCGCCACTACCTGGAACCGCACCGGCCGACAGAAGCGGAAACGGATCATGAGGAGCAAACCAGGAACCAGTGGAGGCGAGGCCCAATCCTTGAGGTTGCATTTTTCCAGGAATACCCTTCCAAGAGAAGTCGAATCACTGTACTTAGCAAAGGACAATGATCGCCTGCCCGAAATCCTACATTCCTCTGTTTGTTCTTCTCTATTGCTACCATATCGGGTAGTTTCGGTGTCTGCTAAGCCAAGGACAAGTTCCTTGGCTAAACTTGTTGAATCCTTGACATCGCCTTAGAATCACTTGCAGCTTCGGAGCCTCCGGACTCCAACTACCGGGTTTGCCTTTTTTGAAGATCTGGCCCAGCATGGCCCATTAGCAAGTGGGCCCATGTGGGCCTCCGGATAGTTACAAGCCTACTCGACAGTGGGTCTCCCCGAAATTGTCTTCTTTGTGTGCATTAAGCTATGATCGTTTCATGTGTCATCATGTTTCTCGTGTTTTACAAGTGCTGTTTCTGGTCCTGCCTCGACCGCCTTCAACAACAGATACTCGTGCACATCGTCCACGTCAGACTTGTTCTCGCAAAAGATCAAGACCTGAAGAATCGGAGGTAAGCGAATCGATACACCTGCAAGCCATCCAGGAGACACACCTATCCCAGCAACATAGAGAAATCTAGATCTGAGCAAATCTCACCACGTCTCGACTGCGAAGAAGCCGAGCAAACCATAGTAATCCTTATGGTCCCCACCCACATTGGCATGAAGACAGATCTGATCCAGCGCTTCAAGGCTCTGAAACACCCGCGCCTTTCAAGCGAGTGACATCAAAAGGACTCAACGAGCAAGTGTGAATGTGAATATCGTGGTATGCATATTTAAATATACACACGTATAGTTATATATACACAGTATATAGGTGCTCCACCATTTCACGTGGACTGCAGGAATGCATCCATCCATCCGAATCCATCCATCCATCCATCCATCCATCCATCAATCCATCCATCAATCCATCCATCCATCCATCCATCAATCCATCCATCCATCTTGCAGGCACTCAACAAGGAAGCAGTCAAGGCTTCAAGGTATAACTGACCCTCACTTCCACCGATGAAGCAATCTTCAAGGCATCTCAAGGCATCATCCAAACTGTGGCTTTCCAACCTGACATGGTGATCCCAATGCACGTCCATGCAGGCTAAGCTCCTGGCAGGCGGCGGTGTCTTCTGCAAACATTTCAGCAAATACACCAGCTTGGCCTCTTGCTTCACATACCTCAGCTCGCATCGGACAAAATCCTCTTACAGCATGAGAAGCGCGTGAGTACGAGTACAAGGAAGATGCTGCGTTCTTCTGCTGCAGCCACGACCCATCCAATTCGGTTCCCTTCAATTCCCGACCCATCGATGTGTTAGATCGCCCTATGGTGAGTTCCCTCACTCGAAGGTCCAACCAACATCCACCAAGAGGCTCCACCTCTTGGATCACATCCAAGTTAGCGGCGCCTGCGCGACCCACGTTGATGACCACCTGAGCACGGTGATATACGGTGATAGCATGTCATAGCATTGTCCTATAGCTGGCCCGTGCTGGCCCACCAAATGGAAGCCCAGCTGCAGGTCCTTGTCCAAAACGATCCCCTTGAAGACCCCATTCACGACTAATTGGCTGTGAATCGAGTAACATAGTAACTATGGGTCAGTCTTGGTAGTATAGTTCCAATCAGACTTCGAGCTCAAGGGAGGGAATAGAAGAAGCTTTCGACTGCATCGTGATCTCAGCCCACTTACCGAAGTCTTTCGTATCTACCACAACAGGCCATCCACATGGAAGTGCAAAACCTCTTGGTCGGTAGGTCGAACATGGTCGAACTACAATTTCATACAATTTCATACAAGTTCCATTTTGGCGAGTCGGAGTGTGGTAGAAGTTCCGTTTACATCGACTAGATCCACGGGAGTTGATCTGGCCAAGCTGCGGCATCCACCAGGGCAGTCTTGGCAAAATCCTGCACGCGCACGGGGTTCGCGCGCGCGCCGGAATGGCCGCGCCCAGCATCAGCGCCGAAAAAGCATCCAAATCACCAGGTGGTGGCTGGGGCTGCCACAAACTCTTCAGGATTCGAGTGCCAGGTCTTGGTTGAGACCACCCCCAGGCCCTATACTCAGATCTGGCACCATCAAATTCTGGGGAAAGGACCGGAGCTTGATGTCCGTGTGCATCTGGAGCTTGATCTTCCCAAAGTTCCGACTTGATGAGCCCACCATGGCAGCCCATGGTCCGCGAGTTGCGGCGGCCGCAATCGGTTCTGCCGCGGCTGTTTCCACATGATCAATGGGAAGAATGCAATGCTTCAACCCTGGGCAGTGGGTCTGAAGCATCACTCCAGGACGAAATCCTGCACAACATCGGGAGCCAAACATCGGGAGCTGGGAGCTTGATCTCACATGTGGCACCACTTTCTTCTCAACCACCTTCACCTTGCAAAGGCCGCAGCCAAAAATTGGATCAGGAGCTCAATTGGGACATCTTTGGACAATCGGGGATCCAGCTTCACTGTGGGCTTCAACTGTCCGGTGAGACCCGCCCATGTTCTATCCGTCCTGAATCTTCTTGGGCATGGTTGCACTAAAGAGCAGGGTCTGCCGCTGGCCTCGCACTGTCAGAGGAGCAAGCAAAAAGGCACGCCCTAAAGAGTGTGTGAAAAACACCGGGTGCCACAAAAGTGACAGCCTACATGTTCCAGCTCAGGTCGTGCAAATTTGTGTAGCTTCAAGGGACAAGGTTACTCAAGTTCTAGGGGTAACTCCCTCCTAACCTCCTAAGTGAAGAATCATCAAAGCCCGAATTTGTGATGTATTCTCTTGATTGCTCTTGATTGCGCTTTTCACATGCTACATGTTCTGCCATTCCTCCTCCACTCTCCGTGGGTCCGATGTCCCAACTCAATGGTGCTCATCCAGTCCCTAGCACGGTCCACTGCACTCTTGGACTCATCGGGCTTAGACCCTTCCCAGTTTGCACAAGGGAGTTCACTTGCTCACTTGCAGGGACCGTGGGTCATCCTGCATTTCCAAATGAATGATGTGCACACCTCGTCCACTGCGCGTGACAGGGATGCAAAGACAAAGAGATTTCCCGCACCGCAATGAGCCTGCAAAAGACCTATGTTTGTCCACGCCCCGCGCAGTTTCAAGCTTTAACGTCTATTTATACTTGCCAGCGCTCTTCTGAACCCGTTCCCAACAACAGTTCCGAGTCACACCAACACCGGGAACTGCGAACAAGCGCTCTTCGTTTTGCAGCCAAGGCGTTACGGCGTTCACGGCGCCCCAAGGCGCCTCGGTAGTGGTCCAAGGTGTTTCGGATCTCCTCTTCGAATCCCAGGTCGATCATGCGATCGGCCTCGTCCAGGACCAGGACTTGACACCTCGGCAGTGGCCGAAGTGGGCCATAGGAACGGCTATCCCAAGAAGGAAATGAGGCTCAGGGGGTCGGGGTCTTGTTTTGAACAGGATGAGATGGAACCTGGATCATTCTGGATCTATGTATATCTTCTGTCCAGGCTGAGGCCAGTCTCGAACCGCTAACCTCTAACGACCCCACTAGAACTGGACGCGGCACCATCTTGGCCATCCACAGCCTTTAAATTTGGAAGGTCTCGGTCTCAGTGTGTCCTGCATGCTTTTTCCAGGTAGGACAGTTTCTAGGTGGTGAGGCAGTGGGATCAACACTGGAAAGTGGTATAACAAGGTCGTCCGCACACAGTTGTTGAAGGTGATTGCCAGGGATGTTTGAGCTGCAAGGCCAGCGTCCGCACGGGTCCGCCTGATCACCTTCCATCTGGGGAGATCACTGTGCCAGCGACATCTTTTTCTTGTTCAGCAGATCATTCAAGCGGCCTGGAGTGGCCTTGGCGGATAGGCGGTGGGGCTCGCAATGTGATCACCATGTGAACATGCTTCTCGCCAAGGTGAAACGAAACCATAACAAAACAATGAAATGCCGTAAAGGAGTTCGTGCGACACACCAAATAGACGATTGAAGCCAAAAAGCCGAAGCACAGGTTGAAGATATAAATGACGTAAACGTGCACTGATCTAAATGGAGCATCTATACTCGGCATGTGGGGCCATGTGGCCATTGTGACTTTAACAAAGACCTAGTGACTAGTGGAGAATTGGCCATTTGCTATCGTTGCAAAGGTGGGAGGAACTTCTTGAAGAGCAACTCTTTCCGATTCCAAGGTCCGGCCTATTGCCTACTCCTCCCCATGGGAACTAGGAATCAATAAGTTCCAGCTGCTTTTCGAATTCTTTTTCCCTCCAACAGTCTCCACGAATGGGAACTAATAGATCAACGAAACATCACATACCCATTCGTTTGTTCTCGTATGCCCATTGCAGAGTTGTTGTACAGATTTGTACAGTCACTATTGAACTTGGCCAATGTGCGTCTCATGTGCTATCTATCCGAACGTCAAAACGAATCCTGTGGTGTGTGTCGTCCAACCCTCCTCCCGAAGCTCGTCCATGGATGTAGTACATCTCCACCGCTCTCCCTCGTTAGGGCCTCCCTTGTCGTATTGGAACCCGTCTCGTAGCCCATGAAACGGCCGAGCCATGTACAACTTCAGGAGTCTGATCAGTCTGCCGTAGGATCAACCGCATCTCATGATGCTGCAGCAAACGCCGCATGGGCCATGGCAGCTAACAAGTAACAAGAAGTCTTGAGATGGAACCACGACTTTTATCGTTCATCCCTGACCAAACCGATCTTCAAAAACTGCCCGTTCTCGGTTTCTCTCAAACATATCCCCCATGCACAAAAGAAAACCTATCCGAAGCGTGCTCAGACTTGCCCCCCCAACTCAAGACCTCTCTGAGCAGAGTGTGTGTGCTGTTGCTCGCGCCTCCGCATGCTCTTTTGCTGCCTAAGGGGCCACCACCATGTGGCACCCCTTCTTGATGGCCATCGCCTGCGTCCCGGTGCTCAAGCCGCCAATCGTCAGCACCTGGGCCGCATCACCAATCAGCCGACTGGATGTGGAAACCGGAAATCCACGATGATGCTGTGACTAGAAACGCCCCACCAAACGCCAAAACAGACCTACTAATACTGGTGCTGATGCCGGGCGCATGCTGACAGAGCATAAAATCAAGTGTTTCCCTGCACCGGCCGAGCTTGGAGAATAGGCTATATATAGCTATAGCCTATAGCTATAAGGATTTGCACGGCCGGCTCTTTCGATCCAGCAGTGATGTAGAATACATAATGAAGAGGTTTTACCGTCCATGTCCGGGAAATTGATTCATCCAAGTTTGCAATTCAATGAATGGGGGGGGAAGTTTGATTCATCCAACTTCTACATGAACGCCGCCCTCCCGCCCTCATCCGCCGGTGCTTTTCCTTCCAACGGCTCCTTTGGCCGACCCTCGGGCGCCGGGCAGATCGGAGCTTGGGAAACTCTCGATGGTACTCGGCCAGGTGGTCGGTGTAGAACTCGATCACCTGCCGGTCCGTTGTTGGTGGCGTGTCAGGGTGGATGCAACCGTTGAAGTGATGGAGGACACCCACCTCTGAGAGAGAAAACAACGACAGTAGATCAAATGGATCGACTTTGGATTAGGGAGGCCCTCTGAGAAATTTGATAGTCATGGATAGCCTATTTCTATTGAAGGCTTCCTGCTATACCTACCTTATCATTTCAATATACACACCATGTGGATCCATGTGGATTGTATATAATCAGCCGCTCAAACCTGCCGGTGATCTAGCAAGCTGGGCTTTTCCCAGCTGAGTTGTTGTTTGCCTAATTGCTGCTTTCCAGGGTGGCTGCATTATAGTGATATGGTAGATATACTCGATGAATCGTCTCCACTGCAGCCTGCGGAACCTCAACAAGTTGCAAGGAGGTTGGCTGGTGCAAGAATCAATGTGAATTTGCTTGCGAACATGGCCTCAAGTCTCGAGGGCAAGCATATCAATATAGATAGAGTATGATAATAGAGTTTGCTTTCTATTGGACATCATCACGCCATCGACTTGGATCTCCTAATCCCAAATCCAATGCAAAAAAACAAACAAAAAACACCCCAAGCATCTCGCAGGGGGGGCTGTCACGCTGCCCCTCCCTGTCCGCAGTCCACAGTTCGCGTTCCGCGAGGTTCGGACCTCGTAAGTCTGGTGCGCCAGCTCTCGCGAGGGCGCGATAATGAGCCCAAAGGGCCCCTCCGTGGGCTGAACCTCCATGAAAAGGAATCGACCCGAGCACGATCGGCGCATGTGTAACACCCCAGAATCTACAAGCGGGTGGGATTTTGAGACTTCTTATATTAATTGTAGTATTCTGTCAGGTTTTCCACAAAGAGCCATCAACATGCACCGCAAACCACGCAAACCAGCCGGCTCGATGTTAGTGATTAGTGCTGTACCCGCACCTTGGCCCTGAGCTCTTGCTCTAAGGCAGACATGATCATCGGGAGGCCAAACCTCTTGAGGCTCGGGCGACGGCCGAGCCAGGCCACCCGGCACGACGACGGGCCACACCATTCCAAGTGATTCCAGGAAAACCACAGTACATAAACCCGAAATCTTGGGGTGCGGAACCAACAGTATCCCAGTCAGCCCACGCACCAAGGGCTCCGTGAGGCACCAGGATAATCAGTGCTTTGACTTTTGACTGACTGGGAACTTGCCGTGCGCAAAGACATCGGCAACAACTACACGACAGGGTGGCCCGAAAGCATCGTCCACGAGATGACACCAGGTAACGCTGATGTTGATGACGGCCATCACTACTACAATGCTGTTCATGCCAACGTAAAAAAATGCTTTACAGTACTAATACAGTATACCTGTGGGGCGCCCATGAGAGGACAGTGTTGTGGGACACTCTTGTAAGACATTCTGGATTGAGGGGATGGACCGATGGACATGTCAGGGAAAAATTGCAGGACAAAATCATGAGAGCAACATCATTGAATCTTAAAAAGGCGATGTTAGTGGGATCTGAGGATCTAGCGATCTGAGGCTTAGCCAGCAATAACAAGGCTGATTGAAAAAGAAGGGCTGAGATGCTAACATCTGAAATAAATTGTGCGAGCGCAGGCGGAGGCATGCAGCCACAGGAGACAAGAAGAGTGGGAAGGATGGGAAACTGGATGAACCCCAGCGCTCACGAGAAAAGTAGAAGAGCGCCTGATGGCCCGTGCCAAACATCCAGTGATAACAACAAAGGTTCTGGGCAACCAGCAATTGCACCACGTCCATCTCTACACCTTGATGATTGATTGATTGTGTTATATGGTCCGGTTTCGGGCCTGATATGCGTTTTGCCAAGTATTCCGGCATCTGCTCTGCCATCAGAGAAAGTGTCTATTTTGCATATTTGCTGGCATTCTATCTTGCAATCAATCTGACATTCTTTCTGACATACAGTATGTTCTGGCACTCTCTCTGGAACGCATTTGGACAATCAATCTGGCATTGATTCTCGCCTTCTACCTGGCATTATGTCTGGCATGCTTTCCGACATTCTATCTGGCATGTATTCTTGGCATGGCATATATTCCGGCATTCTATCTGGCAGTGTATGTTGAATATAAAGTATTATATATTTATATATAGTTAAGTATATATTTTTATATATATATATATATTCAGGCATATTCAGGCATTCTACCGGGCATATTTTCTGGCATTCATTCTGGTGGTTGAGGTCCGATGGTGCCCACTGCCTGCGATCTAGCACTCGCGGTTGGGGTGCGGCGGTGCCCACTGTGATCTTGCACTTGCGGTTGAGGTCCGGTGGAAAGGCCGTCAAACGCGGCGCAAAGACTTGGTCCTGAAGGCCGCGAAGTGACATTATAAAGCATCAGTTGAAACTGTCCTTTGGACTCACTGCGGTGTAATCTAATCAGTTAGTCGATAGGTTCACCATGGTTCAACAGTTTCTATCAAACAAAGCTTTGTTGGGTGTGAATTTTCCTTGCCCGTGTTTGAGAGTCCCCGTCTTAACCCCACCTCCTTACCAAAACGACCGGATTTGCAAATACTTTCACCTGTTCCATGTGCCAAGGCCAACGATCCATTTTGGGACAAGAGACACCAGCGTCTTTCCGCTGCCTGTGAAGGCAATTCCTGGGAAAGACCGGTCGCATCCCGGGAAGACGCAGCCAACGAGTTCGTTCCGACACCGATCTGCGGATGACATCCACGAGCGACCCAAACGGCCGGTGTAGGTGCTGAACATCGGGGAATGTCTACAGCCTAGCGGGGCCTAGCGGCCAAGCACCACTAGAATCAGAAGAAGCCCTCAAAAGGACATCAACATCAATTCCTGGTGGGCGAACAGGGCATGGTGCAGTTTTCAGGGCCAGTGGGCCAAGTATGGCAGTCTTCAGGCGTCAGGCTGAAGAGGGCCTGGCTGCCCGATATATCCTGATATTAGGAACTCCGGTTTTGACCGTTCTTGACCAGCTGCGCTCTCTATCTCTCTCTTTCTTTCTCTCTCTCGCTTTGCAGAGTGTCCTATCCCACTCTGACAGATTGGATGCACTATGCTGCACTGCGATGATCATAGTACAGTCTAGTGCAGTATTCCCACATCTTCCCACGCCCGAAGTCCTTCTACCAACCGCGCTCTATCTCACCCTTCTCACGGCTTTCGTCTGCCGCGTCTGCCGCTGTTCAAGCCAAGGCTCCAATGATGTCTCGGCCCATCAAGCCACAAGGTATGCCCTGCCTCCGATGTTGGGACGTTCACCCAACGTCCCCAACGTCTTCACCGAGTCCCCCAACGTCAGGGACCGGTTTTCACCAAGGGTTTTCACCACCATGAGGTCAACCGACCACCCAAAGGGGATGCCAATCCTCTGGAAACAAGGCAGCTATGCTTGGCAAACTGAGGAAAACCTCGAAACCCAATGATCCCAGTGGATCGATCCGATCGAAATGGGCACTGCACCTGTAGCACACGCCATGTAGAGTCCCACACCCCGACCAATCCATGGGATGGGGCCATTCCCGCGTACTGAGCTGAACCCGTTCAAACCACCCCAGGGCATTCCAACATCAAAGACAGCTTCACTCGGAAATAAGGCACACACTCCATGTTGACTTCGGGATCGAAATCACACACCTCTTATAACAATGTTTCTGATACGGCATGAAAGTGCACCTCTTAGCGAGCGCATCTGTCAAGGAAAGGCCCAAAACCAGTCAAAACCTGTGATTTTCATCTCGCATTTTGTCCTACAGCCTCGGGCCTCATGCATGGGGCGAAAAAAATCAGCCGGTCGCTTAACCCAGCTGAGTGCCCGAGCATCTGGATCTGCGTTGGCCGCATGATACCCTTGGCTTTTAGGCCTTGCGATGAGCGGCGGGTGTTCGAAACAAGTGCTGGGCAACGGGACACGGAGAATGGATCTGCTGAAGACCGGTTTATTCTACAAATGGCCTATGTTCTGCTCCTACATATCGAAAGCACCTGGGTATGTACACATATTATATATAACACCTCATGCCCCAATAGCATCCAAAAGGGGTATCAACTGTAGGGACTGGTGCAAGAAGATTGCTCAAGTGTGATTCTATAGAGCCATCTGACTTTGAGAAACATGTCCGTCCCCTTCAAAATCAGGAAAACAGTCACCCCATGTCACCCCCAAAACACCACACCGCCATGATGGCGAACAAAACCCCGCAGCGCTGCCAAACAAACAGATTGCTCCTCACATTTGGCACATGTTCCCCTCAAAATGCCACGTGCAGGGACATGTACGTGTGCAGAAAACATCAGAAAACAGGTGTGAAACATGACTTGTAGCCAGGAAGGGTCGAAACGTGACTCAGAGTCACGGCCGTGCACACGTGTTGGGATAAAGGTGGCCAATCTCACAACTGAATCGCGAGTGAGAACACCAGGAGGCTGAGGCGCGAAAAGTTTGGTCACCGGGTTTGGAGCACCAGCATTTTTCGCCACCTCTCTGGTGGATAATACGGCACGTACAAGCCTCGTCCAATCTCTCGTAAACAAAAAGTTGCACATCTTCACTTCACTTTCAACGCTGGCCTTCAAGGATTCCACGCGGCAAGCGCATCTCCTGTTTTCAATCGACCAGAGCACCAAGAGGAGGCTTCTCGACCGGTGTCCACCAACGGGGCCAACGGGAAGCTACCGAAAGTCCAATGGAACATTGAAGAAAGAACGTCTGAGAAGACTCTCACAGGGACCCACCAACCAATACAGCAATCATGTTTGCGGTTTGTGGATGTTTGCGGCACATGGCAAACATAATCACACAACTCTTGGGCCCACCGTGGGCCGCTAGGGGGCGCCTGGTAGGCTCAGTGACGACACGTGTAAACTTCCAATATACCTAGCTAGACCTTCATGTCGGGGTGTCCAATGGAGATCCACCAGTAGTGTAGGGTATTCCATTGGAGACCCCATATTGAAGGTGCTGGTATAGTAGATCTATTTCTCTGTCGGTTCTTTTGAATTCTGCGAGGGTAGATCAGCTCGGAGACAGGACCCCTTGGAACCACCTACGTGTGGATTTCAAACAACAGTGGGTGTGGAGGTAAACGCCTACGCAATTCTTGAGAGGGAACATAGACCATTGACTCCGTGGAACCACTTCCCATGTTAGTTTCAGGGAGAGTAAGTGATCTACACCGTGGAAAACTAACATGGACCCTGAAAACCACTGGTTTGTAGAGGAAAACTGAGGAAACCAGCCCTACCGGGTCCCATTCTCAGGGTCCATGTTAGTTTTCGGGAGTGTACTAAGTGACCTCTTCGGACCTGCTTTGCATCTGCTGGACCCGGGCAGGCTCCTCGAAGCGCTTGATGGGCGCAGGGATGTCCTTCCCATTCACCTGTTGACACGGGCGTTGGGTTGGAGGCCATCGCTCTATTCGGTTGGAGGCCATGGCTATTAGGGCCATCACACCCGAATGAAGAAGGCCCAGCGAACGCGTCGTCGCGAAGCATCGAACCATCTCGATGCGGAGAACATCACCATGTGAGGAGCACATCACATCCAAATGGAACTGAGAATCAATCATACCATCCGAGGATGTTGCCAATGGGTCTTCAGCCTTGTTGCATTTGACATGGAGCGAGTTCTAGGTTCGTGCAAGTTCTGAATTGGGGAGGGCACAGAATGAGTGCGTGCAACAGAGTCCCTAAAGTGAAACAAAAGAGTCGGTTTCATCCCTCCTCACCGTGTAACCTTGTATAGGAGCCATGATCGAATCCTGTAGCCGTGTAGGAAACCCTTAGGAAGAAACAAATGGGGGTTCTACATGTTTCTACCCGCTCCCAAAAGAAGCAACCAAAAACAGGGTGCCTTGGCGAGCTCGATCCACCGCTTTTTTCCGAGCTCGATGGAGGTCGGGGTGCCCCAGGCGGGTGGCGTTCGACACCGGTGGAGCTCGACTCCGCTCAGAGCAGCAAAAGGAGGATCTTGGGTCAAACTTGAATGTACCATCCTACAGGAGCCACAGTCTGACGATATTCCACCACCAAGGTAAAGGATTTCATATGTCTAAGTGACCACAAAAATGGGTGTCACCTCATATACAATGACCCTTCTCGACGTCCCACACGTCCCGCGTTCTCAGAACTAGGGAGGAACTACGGAAGGGGTGGACCTAGTGGACCGTGTCGCCAGTGGAATGGCCTGGATCATCCTAGATCTGATTCCTGCATTGACTGGATCATATGGGATCTACCTTCCAAAGTTACGGTATCGTTACCGTACACATGTCCCTCAAGATGGATCATGTCCCTGCGATGGGCTAGACTCTTGATGATCTTGAAAACTCGCCGTTGACAAATGAACTCATTATTATGTAGTTCTTGTATGTTCTTGTCACCTGTCACCTCTGTTTCACAGCCACTTCCTTTTTTCTGTCGGATTTGTTGAGTGTACTTTTGAAGTCTAAGACCAGCATGCCCCTGATGGGGGTGAACTCCCCACCTCCTGCAAACACCTCCGATGCGAAGTCTCCCCCCTGACACTCCAACTGGGGGGACTGTCAGGTCTTGCATCTATTTAAAGTTGCTGCGGGTAGCCTTCAGGCTTCCCAGGGCTCGAGTTGCACATCGCACCGCTCTGCTTTGTTTCAAGGGCTCGGGCTGGGCTTGGTTCTTCACTTCTCAGTGCGGATGCTACAGGATGCTCTCTAGGTGCATTTCTTCAGGAAGTCTGTGAGATGTGCAAGTCCAGGGCTAACATGTGGAGTCAGGACGATGGAAAACCGCTCTCGTCCGCAAGCACATGACCATAGGGCCAAGGCTCTGGGCACACAAAGAGGATTTAAACGAGGTCCGCATGCCGGGCCATGTAACAAGTTCTGAAAAGGATCAATACAACATTCCGTCTGTCAGCTCGTCTTTGAACGTTGCTGCTCAATTTGGTTGAATGGCCCAACGCTAGGATATGCTACGTAGGCTATGGTGCTATGCACTTTGCCAGTTTTAACTTCAACAACTAATCAGTGCCAGTGCTAAACAGAATCAATGTTGCATGTCCAGTGCCAAGTGGTTAGCCATATAATATAACTTTAAAAAACCATGCAGAATACTCCTTACATTGCTGAGATCCTATATACTTGCGAGGTCTTACGTACGAGTCTTCAAGAATCTTTGCGGCCAACCACTGTCACGGAAGCTGTGCTTTCAATCTGGCAATCTCCTCATCTTTCTTCCGCATCTCGCTCACAAAGGCTTCCTGCTTCTTCTGCATCTCACATTCCTGGGAGCTCAATTTCGCACTGCAAAGGCCACAAAGGTACAGAATAACACCCAGTTCTCCTATACATTTACATGCTCATTCATACATAATCTAACGGTTTGTTGCTTTGAAGCCCAACGCATTGCCCCAAGGTTGCCCCAAAGCCAAGCACCACCCAAATAACCGTTTTCCATCCAAGAGGACATTTTTTCCGGACCGAACACCCTCGATATGAAGAGGAAGGGGCAAGCTCAGGCTGGCATGTTTACAATGCTTTGCAATTTCTGGCCTGTAGCCAAAATCAATGACACCAAGCTTCAAATTGCTTCTCCTTCTCCTTGATCTCCTCCTTCACTTGCTGTACCAACCTTGCATGTCGACTTAATTAAAGTCCACTTCATCACCCCACCGTTTTTGTGATAACCCGGTCCTTGAATGCCAAACCACTGACTGTGAAGGCCTAGAGGCAGTTCATTGTGTCTGTCCTGGTCATGATCTTCGAATCTGAGATAGACAGTCTACCTTCTCTCCACTACCCGTTCCTAGGACAAGCCAACAAACGTGTGAACAACTCGCACACCAATTGCCCGCCATTGTCTACCTAGAACCTGAGTGACCCTAGAACCATTGTCTTTTCCGGTAAAAACGAAAGTCAAATGGGTTATAGTAGGCTATGTAACGGTATGCATATTATATATATATGGACTGCAAATCCATAGATTCCCTTGTTTTTATCTTGATCCACGCGTGGTGCACACACGTTCCAAACGCCTCGGAAGCCGAACCCCAAGCCGAAACCCCCCCCTCCCCGCTGCCGCTCCCTCCGTTCACTCCGGGCCGCTCTTCGGGGTCCATCTTCTCCACGCTGCTCTTGCGCCGCACCAAGAGGCTGCGCGGCCCCGCTCGCGCCGCACCGGGCGGGCCGTGCGCCGGTCGCAGCCAGGTGCCCACCGACGGGCGGTGGTGAAAGCCCCAAAGCACCGGCCTCGGCGAGGGGATTTCCGGTCTTCCCCCATGGCGAGGTATGGCATTCTTCATGGTATGAAGGTATGGGATGGTATGAGAGTATCCATCATCCATATATATATATATCCCAGACACGACTAGTGACTAATGGGACTGCCATATATGCCAATCAGTTGGGGTGGTTTGGGGGGTCAATGAAGGCATACATGGCAGTCCCATGGAGTGTCTGGGTATTATATATATATATATATTTGGGTCTCCCCCACTTCTGGCTTTCTTGGATCAAAACAGCTCTCACAACCCAGCTTCCCAGGTCAGGAAAAAATGAGTAGGGTCAAATGGTATGAAGTCTGCTTCAAAGATTGCTCAATGTCCAGCACGCCCGGGTCCACTCTTGTTCTTCACTCTCTTGCATTGCCCGCCCTGCAAACTCACAAAAACAAAGCACAACCCCACAGCTCCAGAATTTGGAGCATGATATCAGTGGTTTCATGTGGTATCCTTTAATTTTGTAAGCTGATGTAAGTTGAAGCGGTCACTTAGGACAAGTGTACTCATGCGGACCAGGTTGCCTCGCATCTTCTGCACTGACACATGGTGTTGTCTCGGTTGTCGGTCCCTCCGCTGCCCTCAGAACTGATGGTCCAGGTGGTGTGGGCTGCGATGGAAACTTTGCATAGAGATTCTGCATGTCAGTGGGATGTAATGCACGAACATGGGACACATAGTAGTCCTTGAACGGTGTGAGGGATGTTTCAGGTGGCTTGGCT